TTCCACCATAGGGAAGCAAACGTTAGCTTTTATCAGTGTACTTTTGATATTAATATTCAAATTTTGAAAAAATTTATGAATAATTCCCTTCTAGTCTTAGCCAACTTGATTACACATAAAATTCTTTTCATTCTACCCTCCATAAACCATTATCACAGCTTACTAAACCTTCTGCGACATGCTTAGATCTTCTGTTTTGTCCCATACTTTCCCACTCTGGAACACTCCAGCCATTCTATTTTAGGACAAAATTTACTACACAATATTCCTTTCCATGCAAAATTACTCTTTTCCTTTTAACCTTCCTTGCCAAAAATACATCTTTGTACTCATGTCTTTCTTCATCTCTCTCTGTCTTCTATTTGTTCCTTTCTATCTTGTTTCTGTTTCATTTTAAATTTACTTCTTGAAACAATATGTCTTACTTTCTTTGTACAATTTGCTTACAAAATTGTTTCCCTATTTCTGCTAGAGGTTTCTTCAGTCCTGCTAGCGATCAGAATGTCATCTACATACCAAAGCTGAATCCCCTCTTTCTTTTTTTTTTTTTTTTTTTTTTTTTTTGTCTTTTTTCCGTGTCCGGCAACGGATCGCAACCCTCAGTGTTGCCCCCGTACTGGACCAGGGACCGGCGACGGGATCGCAAGCCTCGGCGTTGCTCCCGCGCCTCGCTCAGCCAGTGAGCGGGAGCCGGTCTGTACGTGGGATCCGAACCCTCGGACGGGAGCGCTGCCGCGCTTCCCAAGCGGCGCACTATCAGTGCACCACCGGGCCGGCCCTGAATCCCCTCTTTCATCTGAAGTTTTCTTGAATCTCTGGCTGTGGCTTCCCAAAAATGGCAGGTGCATTCTTAAATCCTTGAAGTAACATAGTGCAACAATATTGTTATTTCATATTGGACCCTGGATTATCCCACTCAAAGGCAAATAACTCTTGGGATTCTGGACTTCAGGGTATGCAGTAAAAGGCATCCTTTAAATCTAAAACTGATTCAACAAGTCTCCAAACAAAGTGGTGAAATAGGTGTAGAGATTTGGTACTACTAATGTATATCTTATGTAATTTGGTTAATGGCCCTCAGATCTTGTACAAAATGATATTCATTAGTCCCTGGTTTTTGCACTGGCAGGGTAGGAGTGTTGTAGGGGCCTGACAAGGCCTAATGAGTTGGTACTCAAGCAAGCAGGGCACTTTTCAGGGGCTCTATACCTTCCCTAACTTTTGCAGATGACACTTGAGGAGTTATAGGAAGGGCCTGTGAGATACTTTTCCAAAGACGCCTGTTATTGTTGCAGTGGGTTTTGGGGAGAGGGGGCATGTTGGGCATTCAAAGCTAAATATATGGCTCAAGTGTCAATAAGATTGTCTACAAGCCTTTTTCCCACAGTCGTTGTTACCTGGGGTTCTTTGTGGGAAATGTCGATGGAATTGAGAGGACCATCCCACTCCTGACCCCATCTTTCTTGATCGCTGTCTATGATTTGCAGCATCTGGTGGTTTGGGTTGTGGCTGGCTCCCATTCCCTCTTTTCTCCTTCTGGGATGGTTGGGGTATTCCCATACCAGTGGCTTTCTTGTCTACATTGGATACATTGCCATCATCCCACTCCTGGATAACCTCTGCAGATAGATGGTGGAGGCCCCAGGGGTCTTACCCATGGCTGTCTGACTTCTCCAGTTGGTTTGAGAGCCACAGCAAGCAATGAGGCTTGCCATCTCATTTCACATAGCTTCTGTCTCTCTTGTACCTGGTTATGACTATTAAACACTTTGAAAGCAATCTCCATTGGTTGGGGCATCAGCATCTCCAGTCCCCCTTCTAATCTTTGTAGCTTTTTCCTTATATCTGGAACACTTTGGCTAATAAAAGTCATAATAACTATGTCAGTATATTGCCTGTAAGCCTGAAAATCCTTTTGAGGAAGATGGAGGGATTTTCCTTCTGCCTTTATTGTACCTCCTGTATTTCATTCAAGCCCTTTGGTTTAGGTGCCCCCTTCTGCATTCCTGTTAATATGCATGTTTTATCATGATTTATCCTAGTTTGATCCCCTGGGTCATTGTGTTCCCAACCTGATTCAATTCCGGGTACCATGTTAGCTGCCAGAATAGTAATTGGATTATTAGGTTGCAACTCATGAAGGCTCTTGGCTTCCTGATGAGACTTTTCTAATACCATCCTTACACTCTTCTAGAGTTAGGAGGGTATTTATGTGGGCCTGAATATCAACCCAAATAGATGTGAATAAGTTTTCCGTCTTTTGGGAGTCATCTCAATAGGAGGGCATGTTATTCTTCCAATTATATAAATCTGAAGTGGAAAAGGAAGAATGTTAGCCTTGGTCATCAAGACCTATAAGGATTTGCCTTAATGGAAATTGCACTGCCTGAGTTTGATTGTTTTCTGTGCCACACTGAATACCTTGACAGGTGTGGGGAGGAGGGGAGACTGCTTCCTGCTGGCTGGCTGGCAGAGTTGAACCTGCAGCCTTGGGAACACCTGCAGCTTCAGAAGCATTCTCTTTATATGGGGTTGGAAAGGCAGGAGAACAAGGCAGGGTGGAAGGCCCTGTCATTAGATGAGGCATGACAAGGTCTTCCTCTGGCCCTACGTCAGGCAAAACCTACTTTTTTTGAGGATTCCCCCTTTGAATCATGATCTTACACTTGTTTTGTAAAACCTCATTGTGATACAAAGCCATGAAAGGTTGTACATATGGGCCCTCATCCCACTTTTCCTCCCTCCTGCAGAACAAGTCTAACTACAAAATGACATCATAATTTAATGACCCATTTTGGGGCCATTTCTTACCTGATTCTAGTGAATACTGGGGCCAGGCAGGGTTATATAAGATCACTTGCTTTCTTTTCATTGGCGCATAACTAAACCCTGCCCAATTCCGGAGAATACAGCTTAACGGGCTGCATTTAGGGGTGTGATATGGGTTGAATGTGTCCCCCAAAGTTTCATGTATTAGAAACTTAATCCCCACCATGACAGTGTGTAGTAGTCTGTTTTTGTGTTGCTGTAACAGAATACCTGAGACTAGGTTTTATAAATTTTATAAATAAAAGAGATTTATTTGGCTTACGATTCTGGGACAGCTGCATCTGGTGCAGGTCTCAGGCTGCTTCTACTCATGGCAAAAAGTGGCAGGCAGCCAGTGAGTGCAAGCAGATCGCATAGCAAGAGGAAGTAAGAAAGAGGCGGAGAGGTGCCAGAGTCCTTTAAACAACCAGCTCTTGTGGGAACTAATTGAGAACTCACTCATTACCTGCCCCCCCCCCCCCCCCCCCGCCGGGGATT